GTTTGAGCTTCCAGGCAGAGCTAAAAATTTCTTAAGCGACTGATTTATGATTTTCTGCCTTAAAATTAGCACAGCCAAACCCCTGGCTTGAAAACTATTAATTTCTGCAAATAGGCATCCAAGCTGATGCCCATTACTGCAGAATATGCAATATCAAAGTCCCTTTTGACTTAGGTCTCATTTCTCTAAAATCTGATAGATGTAGAGCATCAATTTTCATAAAGAGATCAACAAACCTCTTCACATTAGTTTAATCTGACCTCACTAAGTCTTATTCCTGAAAAGAAAACTTTTTTTTTTTTTTTTTACCCTCACTGTTAAATATCAGCCTTACTGGTCTTTTGTTGTTTAGCATGTGTAAGAGTCTTTTCAGACCATCAAATTGTCACACAACTCTTGTAATTTAATAGGTTGGAGAATAAGGTTGCAAAGAGTGTATATGATTTTTTGTGCAGTTGAAATGATAAATGATAGTGATTTTCACTGGGTAATAATTGATTTAACTATTCATCTTACAACTGGAAGCCCAAAGTAGTACTTGTTTTCATTCACAATTTCCCCACATCATCGATCATATCTGATGATATTTCCGAGACTAATGATTGAAAAGACTTTATCTTACTCTGATAAAATCCATAATTATTCCTCCATTTCTAACCAGATGGAGCTACCATATCTCTAGCATTAGCATTGTCTTACTTTTCTTTACTCGACATTGACCTTTTTTATTTTGGTAATCGGCCCTGCCGGTTGTGATTCATGTCAAAAAACTTTTGAAACAAAACATAAACCTCTGTAAACTTTACATTTTTGCCAAAATTGAGGTACACTGCACTAGCAGTACAGTTGAAGCTCTAAAAACGCTTACAGAAAGGCGAGTACTTCAAATGATCACCTATAACTTGAGATAGCAATGACACGATAAAAGTATACTATCCAATTCTTTTGTACTCTTCGACAGGCCACTTGCATCCTTCAAAAATAACATCATCTTCATCGATCGCCCAGACAATCACGAGACAAGACTCGAACAATCTTTTGCATTCTGAAAATAACTTCCTTCCACACATCACACAATAATTTCAAGGATTTGCCGCTTCCATCTACGTTACAGAAGAAAAAATGAGAAGAAAGGTTGTCTCAAATACTCGAACCATTGTTTTTTCCGACGTATTTTACTGCTTCTTTTCTTTCGTGATTCTCGAAAGGGAAACCGACGCAGGCGCATACCAGCGGTTTCTCGTATCAAACTAAAATTTACCGGACATGCGCAACAAAATGCCCCTCTGCTTCACATGCAAGGAATAAGTAGTCTCCAGTCCTCTTCGTCGGGGTCTCAAACCGGCTAAATTTAGCAAGAATGTCATAAAGGATTCTATTTTCAATCGCCCTAACTTCGGTACATTCCGATGATTTGGCCCTCCAAATTGTTCAAGGAACCTCACCTGAATACCCCTGAATTGATTCATCCGCGCAGTGAACTTTGGAAGCTTACAATATCCCAGTTCTTCTCTCGTGGGCTTTCCCACGTATAGCCTTTCTTTGCAATGTCTTGTAATGCTCTGCCATTCTTAGCCTGAAGTGAAGCCTTCTGACCGGCCATGTTTGTACGGTGTAGGGGAGGGGGCGGGGATGGCCAGAATACTACTGACCCACTCCATCCCCTCTCCTTCCTTCTGATTTTTTCCCAATTTTTCGGTTTTTATTTTCTCAATACCCTCCAAAAGTGTAAATGATAGTAAAATAATTTATGTTCTTAAGCATGATTGTGTTTTTGGGCCCTTCTCAGAGTCATTATAACCTTCGCTTAACGGAAAGGGCTAAAATGACTCTGAGTCGGGTGCAATACATAGTTATGCCCAAGAACATAAACTTTGTATTATTTCATTGTAAAGGAACGTTTGGACCCGAGTGTTATCTGAGAGGAAGGCTGGAGATACGTCGGACACCGAACTTTCACATGTGCTCCCAGTTTCATCAGAGAATGAATGTGGACATTTAGATGCCCTCCGAGGGATTCAACTGCCGTTTGTCAATACGTAGATGTAAATTGGTCACTCACTAAGTGAGTGCAGTTCACATGTGCTTATTTATTCCAAATTGTACGAGAAAAATCATGTGATTACGTATCAATAACATACCTGAAAAAATACGAGATAGCTTATCATAATTGTGCAGAAGCAAAGCGCGCGCATCAAGTGAAAAAATAATTTATTCAAACGGTGCGTTCGGGCAAAACAACCGCGTACGATCAAAACAATAATATACAATGATATTTTCACATATTTTTAAAAAAAAGTTCAAAGTTCGGCTGAACACTGAATCACTTTCGATGAAATGGAATCGTCGTTTGCGAGGTTTAATCATGTTTGCTTTTAATTTCGGCGTAGAATCGCTCGAGCAAAGTGTTAAGCCGAGTCTGCTCGTAATTTTCAATTTCCTCGGCAATTCCCTTCTCTAAACACCACTTATTCCAAACCGATAACCAAAGAGTAGCGCTTTTTACGGTGTTTTCGTTGTTAGAGCTGTTTTTCAGCTGCTGTCGTGTTGTTACGGTGGCGAAAGAAAACCTACTTGAAACACCGGCCATTGTTTCGCTCGCTTGTTTCAGCGTATCCAAATGTTGCGACATCCGAGGCTCGCATTTGATCGGCTATCTGTAAGTTTCTTTGATTACTGACCAATCAGAATGTCTGGTTTGTTACTTCTTTGCACTGAATTAACCTTCTTCTGCATCGAATTACCTGAAAACTGCATTTATCTTAACCAATCCGAACTGAGTAATTTTTTCATGTATATTATTAGGAACAGTAATGAGCCACGATCTTGAAGTGGGCAAAATAGAGGAACTAAAAATTTCCCCCATAATTAAGTTGTATGAACCGAAAAAAGAGGTTAGTAAAAATAAATTTTCTCTCTCTCCCCTCTCTCCCCCCTCTCTCTCCCCCTCTCTCCCCTCTCTCTCCCTCCTCCTCTCTCTCCCCCTCTCTCCCCCTCTCTTTTAAGGTAAAGTAAGTTTATTTTTGTTTCTAATTACTCAGACCACATAGACAATGGACCACGAAATAATTACGTGTGAGAGTTTATTTCAGACAAATAGGAACTTTTTTTCCTGTCTGTTAACTAAACTAATGCTTTACTTTCGTTCTCTTTGAGGTTAAGGCTCTTTTTCTTTTACAAAAATGAAAACATCAGTTACACAGCGTCCCACGTCGACTCAGCCAGCCAAAAAAATAACTCTTGCATGCATTGCATGCCTATGATTTTCTTGTTTGTTGCGATTGTATTGAGAACTAATTTTTTTTTTCACTGTTTTGTTTGGTGATTTTGTTGAGTTGAATCTTGTGCATGGCTCGTTCTCTCCTCCAATTAAATATTTCCTTCAAATTATACACAATGCTTTTCTCGTCTCTGTTCGATTTCCAAGTTGATATCTACCTCGCTGTTTGTTTTAACTTAAATTTAATTTTAAATTTGTTTCCTATATTAGAATCTAGCCCTCTGTTCTTTTCCTTAACCCTTTCACTCCCATGAGTGACCAAGACAGAATTTCTCCTCACAATATCAACACAGAATCAAGCAGAAAAGTGAGGAGAATAAAGAAGAAAACTTAATTAGGGAACTAAGGGCTGATCCAATACCAAATTCTCCAGATTGAAATCATAAGTATTTCATGGCAGACAGTAGGGAGAATTTCTAATGAGATCATGGGAGTTAAAGGGTTAATTCAGGCTGATTGTCACGTTCATATCCTACGAACTGTTTGCACTCCTTTGTTTGGCGTTAGTATCTCGCGCAATGTTTTCTCCTAATTTCATCTCAATAATTCGCTCACCGTTTCTCTTCTTCTCTATTTGTTAATACTTTCCTTTTAGTATATTGCACTCTGTTTGTTCCCTTCTCCGTTAAACTTTTAGATTAATATGTAGCGCCCTGTTCTCAACACTGTTTGGTTTTTGCGGTAATTCTCAAGCATTTTTCTCTTCTCTGTCTGATTTTTACATAATTATCTTTTTTTTTATTGTGTCTTCAGTATCTCGACACTTTTTGTTCCCTCTTCTGTTAGTTTGTTATTATCTCCTGCACCTGTGAACAGTCTTAATCACTCTTGAATGATCACGTGTGCGTGCAGCGAGAGAATTGAAAACAGAATTATAATGATTTAATTAAGGATTAATTTGAGTTTTGACGAAGCTTTGCTAACATTCGCACATTTTTATACATTGAGCTATAATTTCCTACGTTCAGTTTTCCCACCCCAACTTATTTTAGTTCCCTACTGATAGTATACTTAATAGATAAAACGACTTAATTGCAGGTTTCATCGTCGCTGCCTTTCGATTAAGCCCTGTCTACAAAAGCATGCAAAATCAACTACTTAACTTAAAAAAAAATTTAAAATGTCTTCGCAAATTAATACCAGTGTCCATTGAACGACAATGTTTAGGAAGAAGAATCTTTGTGTAGGATCAGTAGTTACTCTGTTTCTTCTCCACCTCGTTGTTGTCCTCCTCGAGTTCCGGTTCTTTCCTGAAAAAACATAAATTTGTCACTATTTCAGCTTTGAAGTAAACGGAACAGATTTCCAATTAAAGAAATTACTTTCCTCTTCAATTTCATTTGCTACGATTATCCAAACTTGTCGAACATATCAATTGTCAATTTATTGTTAATTTTGTTGATTTTTTGCAGATAAAGTTAACTTTTTCAGCTTCTCAAGTTACCTTCATCGTCATAACAAGTAGTATCGCATCGACTTTGAATAATTTTTCTGAATATATTGCATACAAAAGAAACGCTAGTTCAACGCCAGTTTTAGAAAGCCTTTTGTGAAAAAATTCTGTCTCCGAGCGCTGGATAAAATCAACTTATTTTCCTTGGCATTTTATGGATGAAAGACAAAGACAAAAACAAACAAAAAAATTAGGACAACTGAGTGAACTGAACAGGTTAAGTGTGCTAATCGGTTTATCGTAGAAAATTGCTTATTATAATCAGACTTACCCTTTTTTCATAAAATCAAATGTCACGTTATCCCCCATCAACACAAACGGAGCCCATTGGGAAGGTTTGGAAAATCCATTGCTTCTCAACCACTGAACGGCCTGGTGAAGAGATTCACTGGCACTTTCTCCACGCACAAGGTGTTTATAGAAATGTTCCATGAGCTTCGCCGTTGCCTTGTCTTCTATAGCCCACGATGCTACCAACACTGAACGTGCACCAGATGCTAAGAATGCTCGAGCGATTCCAATAACTCCTTCTTTTTTAACCAATCCACGCCCACTGTGACAACAGCTGAGTACTACCAGTTTAGCTCGCACTTGAACTCCTTCAATGTCGGACATTGTCAGGAGGTAGTCTTCCTCTTGTGGAGTATTGTTAGTAGTACATTGAGGAGAGAGGGCAATCTCTCCTCTTTCGGGATTTCCATGTGCGGCAAGATGTATCAGACTCACTGAAGGTATTGCTTGAAGAACCGCCTGCTTTGTTGCGCGACTTCCCAATAAAGGCTGAACACCCAGCAGTTGACCAACCATCTCTGCTTCCTTACTTGCACAGAACAATGGTGTAATGTCAATGAGACGTCCATTGTATTGCACTTTGCCAACCGTAGGATCACCCACAACCAATCCGCCAGTTTGAGTGTGATAGTCTGCTGGACATTCTTGAATGAGCCGGAGACTTGTCAGTGAAGGGACGATGCGTATTCTGTACTTCTCAGATAAATAATTTCCGGCTTGTTCATCACGCAAGGCAGCAAATGGGACTCGGTACGAAAAACGATCCGGTACAATGATGATTTCGGGCTCTGTGAGTAAATCTGCCACAGGTGTGACGATCCATTCGTAGCACAAATGATGACTTCTTCCGGTACCTTTGGTTTCGTCACCTCGCAAATTTGCTTGGCTATTATCATAAAGAGATGTCGTCACGTCGTCATCCAGCGATCGGTCTTCGCAGTTCGCTGTGGGTAAAACACCAAAGCATTCGGCGCTCTTTTTGAAAACTCCTTCCACTTCGCAAACTTGCTCAGCAATAAGAGTGTCTATTTTCACCTGGTCTGATTTTCGAAAGAAAATGTCTCCATTTGCTTTCAATACCCAGAGAAGAACTTGCTGACCTATATACGAAATGTACAAAAAAACACAGTTACTTTCTCTTCTCGCGATGTTTTCAATCCCGAACCATGATCGTGGATCAGCTGAGATGTGGCTTTGAGAAGAGTACTTGTCTGCCATGATTTCTGCGAGGACTATTGCTCGTCCCAGCTCCTCAACATAGAGAGCATCTCGAAAGTTTCCAGTACTGCAAAAGAGGTGAGTGAGTAACTTGTAGGGAAAAGTGCCGTGTTCCTCTAACAGAGCAATTTTAAATCTACTGTTTCCTTTCTGAAGAGTTCTGATTTGTTCATGTTTTTCGATACCTTGGAGAAGATATTCCATTGCCTCCACAAACTCGAACTGCGATATCTTTAACATTGTAATAAGGAGAAGACTTTGAAACTCAGCCATTTTGTTTCCAATTTGGCTGCTAATGGAACAAGCTTTCTGTAAATAATACGCTGCGTTATCATATTCACCAAAAGATAGGGATAGACGTCCAACGGTTAGGTATAGTTGTGCTTCGCACCCTCTATTGCCACATTCTCTGCTGATTGTAAGCGCCTTCTCACACTGTTCTTTTGCCTTCTGACTGTCATTTACAGAATCAGAGACATCTGCCAAAACTACAGTAGCCATGGCTTCCAGTTCTCTGTCACCAATTGTAATACTGACGCCGACTGCTTTGTCCAAATGTTCTTTAGCTTGCCGATTTTTATTAAGATAGCGGTACACCTTTCCAAGGTTGAAGTATGCTAAACCTTCTCTTCCTCTGTCGCCAATTTCTATCGCGATGGCAAGTGCTTTCTCGTGATATTCTTTGGCATTCTGATATTCGCCAAGTAAATGAAACACGCTTCCGAGCCTCCCGTATGTTGTTCCTTCTCCTCCTCTGTCGCCAATTTCTATCGCAATGGCAAGTGCTTTCTCTTGATATTCTTTAGCATTCTGATATTCGCCAAGGGAATCAAACACATCTCCGAGGTCTCCGTATCTTGTTCCTTCTCCTCGTCTGTCGCCAATTTCTATCGCGATGGCAAGTGCTTTCTCGTGATATTCTTTAGCATTCTGATATTCGCCAAGGAAATGAAACACCTTTCCAAGGTTCCCGCATGTCGTTTCTTCTCCTTTTCTGTTGCCAGTTTCTATCGCGATGGCAAGTGCTTTCTCGTGATATTCTTTAGCATTCTGATATTTGCCAAGGGAAAGAAACACATTTCCGAGGCTCCCGTATCTTCTTCCTTCTCCTCCTCTGTCGCCAATTTCTATCGCGATGGCAAGTGCTTTCTCTTGATATTCTTTAGCATTCTGATATTCGCCAAGGGAATCAAACACATTTCCGAGGTCTCCGTATCTTGTTCCTTCTCCTCGTCTGTCGCCAATTTCTATCGCGATGGCAAGTGCTTTCTCGTGATATTCTTTAGCATTCTGATATTCGCCAAGGGAATGAAACACATTTCCAAGGTTCCCGCATGTCGCTTCTTCTCCTTTTCTGTCGCCAATTTCTATCGCGATGGCAAGTGCTTTCTCGTGATATTCTTTAGAATTCTGAGAGTTGCCGAGGTAATAAAATACACTTCCGAGGCTCCCGTAAATTTTTTGTTCTCCTTTTCTGTCGCCAATTTCTATCGTGATGGCAAGTGCTTTCTCGTAATATTCTTTAGCATTCTGATATTCGCCAAGGGAACGAAACACACTTCCGAGACTATCGTACATTGTTCTCTCTATTAGTCTGTCACCAATTTCTATCATGATGGCAAGTGCTTTCTCGTAATATTCTTTAGCATTCTGGTATTTGCCAAGGGAACGAAACACATTTCCGAGGCTCCCGCATATTGTTCCTTCTCCTACTCTGTCGGAAATTTCTATCGCGATGGCAAGTGCTTTCTCGTAATATTCTTTAGCATTCTGATATTCGCCATGGGAATGAAACATTATGCCGAAGTTCCCGTATAATCTTCCTTCTTCATTTCTGTCGCCAATTTCTATCGCGATGGCAAGTGCTTTCTCGTGATATTCTTTAGCATTCTGATATTCGCCAAGGGAATTAAACACATTTCCGAGGTTCCCGTATATTGTACCTTCTCCTCCTATGTCGCCAATTTCTATCATGATGTCAAGTGCTTTCTCGTAATATTCTTTAGCATTCTGATATTCGCCAAGGGAATGAAACACTTTTCCGAGGTTCCCGTATGTTGTTCCTTCTACTCTTCTGTCGCCAATTTCTATCGCGATGGCAAGTGCTTTCTCTTGATATTCTTTAGCATTCTGATATTCGCTTAGGGAATCAAGCACACTTCCGAGGCTCCCGTATATCATTCCTGCTCCTACTCTGTCGCCAATTTCTATCGCGATGGCAAGTGCTTTCTCGTGATATTCTTTAGCATTCTGATATTCGCCAAGGGAATTAAACACACTTCCGATGTTCCCGTATGTTGTTCCTTCTACTTTTCTGTCGCCAATTTCTATCGCGATGGCAAGTGCTTTCTCGTGATATTCTTTAGCATTCTGATATTCGCCAAGGGAATGAAACACACCTCCGAGGTTCCCGTATATTATCGCTTCTCCTCCTCTGTAGCCAATTTCTATCGCGATGGCAAGTGCTTTCTCGTGATATTCTTTAGCATTCTGATATTCGCCAAGGGAATGAAACACTTTTCCGAGGTTCTCGTATGTTGTTCCTTCTACTCTTCTGTCGCCAATTGCTGTCGCGATGGCAAGTGCTCTTTCGTGATATTCTTTAGCATTCTGATATTCGCCAAGGGAATGAAACACATTTCCGATGTTCCCGTATATTGTTCCTTCTCCTTTTCTGTCGCCAATTTCTATCGCGATGGCAAGTGCTTTCTCATGATATTCTTTAGCATTCTGATATTCGCCAAGGGAATGAAACACATTTCCAAGGTTCCCGTATATTGTTGCTTTTCCTCCTCTGTCACCAACTTCTATCGCAATGGCAAGTGCTTTCTCGTGATGTTCTTTAGCATTCTGAAATTCGCCAAGGGAATGACATACATTTCCGAGGTTCCCGTATATTGTTCCTTCTCCTCCTCTGTCGCCAATTTCTATCGCGATGGCAAGTGCTTTCTCTTGATATTCTTTAGCATTCTGATATTCGCCAAGGGAATGAAACACATTTCCGAGGTTCCTGTATGTTGCTTCTTCTCCTTTTCTGTCGCCAATTTCTATCACGATGGCAAGTGCTTTCTCGTGATATTCTTTAGCCTTCTGATATTCTCCAAGGCTAGTACAGACAGTTCCGAGTCTTCGATGAGACGCTGCTTCTTTTCTTTTGTGACCAATTGTTTTCATGATGGTGAGTGCGCCTTCAAAGAGTTGCTTTGCCTCTGCAAACCGGCTTTGTGCGTGATATATGTCTCCCACTTCAATGATTAGTCTCCAAGCATGGTTAAATGTGTCAAGAAGTTTGATGGCATGTCTTTCTGCATCTTTGTAACCAGAGATGGCGTAGTACGCATTGAATAGTACATCGGAGATATCAAGGTGACTACCAGAGTCAAGGTTTTGAAGTAGAATTACGCATTCATTACATAGCTCAGTCGCTCGTAGGCCTCGATCAGTGTTCAGAAGAAATATGGCAACATTTAAACCTATCTGGACTGATTTTAGGATTTCTGCCGCGTCGCTCATTACGGCTCTCTCCTGTTTGTTATCGTAAGAAAGAATCAACAAAAAAGGAAGCTTAAAAAAAGTAACTGATAAATGTTCGAGTTTTTAAACATGACGCGGGAATTTCCAAAAATTTCGTACGTGAAACACGATCAGGATCTTCAGTCTGCTGCCCTTCAAAAACCAGGGACTAACTCAGCTCTGATTTCCGTTGTTTTTTGTTTCAAATCGAGGCAAATCAATATATCTTGAATCGATCTGGAGATATTTGTCTACGCGACGCACAGGCGGCCCCAAGTTCCAGCTGTGAGATGATAATCTTGCGCAATAACAGACGGTCATGGTGGAATTTTAAGAGTTTGTATGGGAATATTTACGACCGCTCTAAGAAATAAAAAAATACGTCAAATTCTCAATGAAAATACTTCACCTTACTTCCACAGCGTATCACTTGTTATCTGACCGCTTACTTCAATGAAAAGAACCCATTTTAGCGAGTTGTCCATTTCGTGGTTTTATACGTACATAAGGTAAACCTCGAAATGGACAACTCGCTAAAATGGGTTCTTTTCATCAAAGAAAGCGGTCTAATAATTCCGCCATGACTGTTATTGCGCAAGATAATCATCTCACAGCTGGAGCTTGGGCTGCCTGTGCGTGACGTAGATCTAGTTTCGTTGCGTGGTGGAAAAAATTTGATGGACATAAATCCAACAAAAAAAATCACATTCTACAATTAAACGAAGTATAAAACTGTTTAGTTGAGCCCAGAGGAAGATATTTGTGCAAGATTTGTGTTGGTATTTCTAACCGTTTGTCCCATAGAGATCAAGCCGGCATGTTAGTCTTAGGAACTCGCATAATCAATTTGAGAAAAATTCTACCCAACGTTTCAACCGCTTACATGATGCTTTGTTTTTCCGACGAAGGAAAATCTTTCTATTTCATTCAATTACATACGCGTTACTTCAGTAACTGATATACCAAGTTCTCTAAATTTTTTGTTTCGTAAAATAATAATGTCAATTTCATTCATGGAAAATGAAACCGAGGAAGCAATAAAAATGCAGAAATTAAATAAAACAAACAGCTCACCTTTTGGAAACAGAACATGCCTTTTACATTAGAGCCTGATAGCTTGACTAATGAAAACAAAAATAAGAAAATGAAATGAGACTTTCCCAGACAAACAAACTTAAATGCAAATAGCTGGTGTAACAACATTTTACTCGCATGGTTGGTGAGAAGTCATCATCAAAATAAAAAAAAAACCTAAGATGGAAGAAAGATTGTTTCCTAAGTTGCCCATAAGATTCATCAAATAACATACGGGATCTTCTTTGTTTAGATCATCTCAGAAGTGATGAACTTGTAGTTTCTCCTTACAATATAAATATACACTTAATGTATGGTCCCGAAGGAAACATTTAGTCTTGTTTTCCCAAGAGTCCAACGAGAAAAAAAACTAACTAGTTTCCGAGGGACTTGATAAATGATATATAGTGACAAAAACAAAGAACGATGTTCTCATTTGTAAGTAAATACTGACGGTTAATGCTTCCTGTAAAACCATTACCGGCAAAATGATGCTTCATCCATAACAGAGCTATTCTTAGCTTCCATTTGCCCCCAATAACTGGTCGCAGAGCTAGACTACGAACAAATTCGAATTTATAAGATCCAGCCAAAATTGAATCTTTTGGTAATAAGTACTTGACGAAACTGCAGTAAAAACACGAGTAATGCAATTACCTGTTTAAATCTCCTCGTGAGCGACGCCGCTTTGCAAGCCTCGTGCGAAATTGCCTTAGACCGGCCTTTGTTATTACTAGTAAGGAATAAGCATGTATTACTTAAAATACCTAATGTGGACCTGTTGAATGTCAGTTCAGATATAGTCGGATTGAACATTGTTTTTCCTGGCTCTGATACATAAAAGACTTTCCCTTCAACAATCATTTGGCAAAATCATGCTGTTGCATTCGGCGCGCAGGCAACAACTGCAAAATTGTATCCCGGTCGGGTACATTTGAATTTGATCAGGGGCACGCGACCAAGAATCTACCAATCACATTGCTCGTTTTGTTAAGGGAAAGTCTAAGTATATATCAATATACCATATAGCAATGCTAAAAGTAAACAGATTCATCATTCAGAGGATGTTATCTTCATGAGTAGCAAGTTTCCATCCAAAACATGTTAACTCGTGATGTTAATGAAATAAATTTTTGGCCACTCACCTTTAGTGAAATCTAAAAGATCTCTGGATAGTTAAAAGACCAAAATCACGAAACTGATATAAAATTTCTCTGCAAAGCAATGAAGAATGCAAAGAGCTACTGTAAGATTGAATAGGAAAATTATCGGTTAAAATTAATCATTATAAACTTAATAAGGATGGAACTTGCATTACAGCTTGCCCATAAGAGATCTCAATAAATACTGGAGCTCACATATTATTGACGAGAGTTTGCTGGTTTTAATTTTGCTTTGCTCGGTTTTTAAAGCCATCAAGTTACAGAAGTGAGCAACATGTTGCTTCTCTTTCCAATATCAACATATTATTCAGTGAACAAGCGACGAGAATACTTATCAGCTGAGGGTTTTTTCTTTATACAACATTAAATTCTCCCTACTAACAAGTAAGGTAATGTGAGGGAGCTAGAAGGAAGAGCTGCTGATAAGATCATAAATTTAAGAGGTGTAGACCTTAAATATTTTGCGACCCAAATCAAAAATTGATTCAAATTTGGTAGCTCTCCACAAATATTATTAGTTTGCTTGGAATTACAACTCTTTCTTATCACTGAATTTGCTACATTTACTGAACCAGAAATATATTTTTTTCGAAGCGGGAAAAGAATAACTATTACTAAATTTAGTTTTTTCGCTGGTAACCCTTTCAAAAATAAACACGCTTTGTTTGGGTGATGAGACGGAAAGTGGCGAGAAACAGAGATAAATGTAAGCAGCTCGTGTGAGAACAAAGTGCTAAGTTTGATCGGTCTAAGACAAGAAACTATAAACTGCAGTTGATTATCTCTTGGTGTGAGATATATCAATATGACTTTCTGTTTCGCCCATGGCATCGTTGAAAAAACCTTGAAGCGCTTTTCTTTCCACATCAAAAATCGCTGTCCTTGAATTCTGTTTCTGTCGCCTGATTTGAGCAGGCGCCGAGAACATTTTTAATAACCAAAAAATAAAGAGAAAGATTGGACTGTAAATTGATATTTTATTTAATTTTGCTGCTTACCCTTGAACAAAGAGTTTTATCTAGTTTCGTATTCTGATCGTATGACTGAGGAAGCCGAGAGTAAAAAACTAAAATAACGCTTTCCTTGTAAAACAGAGATGAATGACAATCTGACAAGAGTGTAAAAAAAAATAGGTCCGCAATGCGTACATGTGTGGCTTACGAAATTGAGCTGCTTTTTAGTGTCTGGTGTCTCATTGGGGTTCTATTAGAAGAGCTAATATCTGATTACCATTAGATGGTTTTCAATATTGATCCTGTTCATCAATAACACAAGATAACTAGCATACAAAAGTCCTGAAATGTTTATTCTGAAGATGAGAGTTATTGGCCAAACTTTGTTATGGAGGTCTCATTTTGACAACAAAGGTTGCACATGTAACCCGAGGATTTTAGGAACTGAAAAAACATTAGCATAATCTCCCATAGTGGTCTGATAGATTCAGTCATGATTATGTTTTATGTTTTTTGTTATGTCAAGTAACAAACTGGAATTGACTTCTGAAGTTTGTAGGTTGATTGTCTTTTCCAAGGCAAATGATGTGAAATGAACTCTAGGGGAGAATTTCATATGAATATTTTTTACATTTTGTGTACCACTAAACAAGGAAAAAACTTTGCAGAAGGGCAGGGACATTCGGGGAAATTATGTAATCTACACTAGAAGCCATTGGGAGCTTGATTTGGTTTGAATGTATGACTAATTTTGGACAATACATACATGTAAAGTAACACAATGGTGAGTGTAGATTTCTTTTTTCCATTGGGGCATAAAGTTCAACTGTCAATTGGTTGAGAGCAAAACGTTTACCATAATTATTGTATTTAGGTTTTTTGGGACTGTATTTTCAATAAAGAACACAGAAAAATTTAGTTCAGGTAGGTAGATATGAGGTTGCAAATGGAAGAGTCTAAGGAAAAAAGATAGGTGCATTACAAGATCAGAACACAAGCAATATTTTAATAAATCATATGTTGAGTTAAGTACTCTGAAGTAACATTACATTAACGTTGCTAATAATTCTTAACCCAATAAGATTTACAATTTGACCTGGAGGTTTTATTTAACAGAAAGTTCAATAGAGATAGAGTGTCACCATAATAGATTTCAGGAACAGTAATCAGAGTCATAACTTAAACACAGCAGGTTCAATGAACAGGCAAGTGCATGATGGTATCATATGATTTAAACTACCACAAGCTTTCAAGTTTTCTTATTATTGAAATTATAATTTCATGCCAGTGAGTCTACCAAATTCAAGTTATGTGGAGAAATGAATAGGTAAACTTGACATTATCATGCAAATGGTCAACTTCACATCATCATGCAAAGTGCTAATAAACCGTACAGAAAGGTCCAAAACAAACATGGTAGGCAACTGAGCTTCATGTATCACTTTGTGTTAGAGCACACAAGAGGACTTTTGAGACCTGCTTCACTCTCATTTGCCAGGACAAGATTGAACTTCTGGTACCAATCAAAATTCAGAATAACTGTGACAGTTTGGAACTTCAGGCGATGAGGTCGACTGGTCATGCGTGATCCTATAAAGCATGATGCTCTGCTGTGATTAGTTGTTTTTCAACAGCTCTGATTGGTGCATTTCGATCCTTGCGGTTCACTCAGTGATTTGCTCCTTCGGCGGTCCGCTGTCGCACGGCTCTCCTGTTGTTGTGTTTCTTGATCGTGGGCATCCACGCTTCTGGAATTTCTATTCCACTATCCCTGTTGATGTTATTAGGGTGAAGTCTTATATGAATTGCC